GCAAGCATGAAATCTGGATGTTCCTCTTCCATGTCAAAAACCAAAAGTCGGGATTCGGATGTTTGTAGTCGGTCACGATGGAAGCCCACGTGCCATTGTGGAGACATGGTTGTTCTTCAAAGGGCAACTACTGTTAAGAAAATGGAAAAACTTTTTTGGGGTTGTCCAAATTATAAGGTATGCAAGCTGGTTTTGTTCTCTGTTGAAGTTATGGTTTTGTTCTCTGTGTAAAGTTATGGTTTCAGTGTATATACCCCCACGGGTATATAGTGTAAATTTCTGTTTCTGTTTTTTTGATGTTTCTGTTTATTATTCATCATCCTCTAAACAATGAATCTTACAGGGAGGTATGCAAGCTGGTTGTGGCTTCTTTGATTGGTTTTATGAGGAGGTGGGTGATAAGAATGAACAATTTTGGATGCATAGGCTGGGTGTGGTAACTAAGGGACTTGCTGAAGAAAAAAAGGACATTGAAAAGGCAACAATGGAGAATGAAGAATTAGAGAAAAAGCTAATGAAACTTGAAAGTGAAATGAAGAATATCATGAAGTGGAAAAAGATTTTGAATTTGATGTTTGTGATGATTATCATTGTATTAGTTGTTAGGGGTAGTTAGGTTATTACGGTTTGTTTGGAAGTATTATGTTTAGTTAAAGTTTGTATGACTTCAACATGAATGTAATAGTTGGATTTTAATATATGGATTGTATCAGTTTAGTTAATTTCAGTTTTTGCAGTTCAACATGAATGAATATAATAGTTTTGGATTATATCATGTCAAAGTGTTTTTATGTTTGATATATAACAGTTTTGGTCTGTCAATGTGTTTTCTATGTTTGGTATATAACAGTTTGAATTGTATTTGGTATAAAACAGTTTTGTATATAACAACAACATACATAAAGCAGCATACATATAACAGTTTGGACTGCTTTTAGGTTAAAGTGTTTTACCCAGTTTTTGTTATACATATAACAATTTTGGTTATACATAAAGCAGCATACATATAACAGTTTGAACAATGTGTTTTATCCAGTTTGGACTGCTTTTAGCATAACAGTTTTGGTATATATTTCATAATACCTATTTGGTATATAGCAGCATAACAACAGTAAAATACAACATGTTCATGACAGCCTATTTGGTATATAGCAGCATAACAACAGTAAAATACAACATGTTCATGACAACCTATTTGGTATATAGTAGCATAACAGCAGTAAAATACAACATGTTCATGACAGCCTATTTGGTATATAGCAGCATAACAACAGTAAAATACAACATGTTCATGACAGCTTATTTGGTATATAGTAGCATAACAGCAGTAAAATACAACATGTTCATGACAACCTATTTGGTATATAGCGGCATAACAACATAACAACCTATTTGGTTCATTTCATAAACCTGTAATACTTTCCAAAACAACATGTTCATGACAACAGTAAAATACAACAACTGTAGAACTTGTTCATGATAGCAGTAGAGTACAACATGTTCAAATTATAAACTTGTTCATGACAGCAGTAGATGTGGAATCAAGATTCAAAGCCTTCTATGTTTTGACGAAGACAACTCATACAAGTTTGACGAGCAAGATACTTTCACTATATACCTGTGGGGGTATATGCTTATTGAAGCTGCTTACACTATATACTCGTGGGGGTATATACACTGAAGATAAAATCAGTGTTCATTACAACAACAGTAGAATGTAATAAACTATGTTCAAATTATAAACTTGTTCAAATTATAAACTTGTTCAAATTATAACACATAAACTTGTTCATTACAACAACAGTAGAATATAATAGACTTGTTCCAAAATGACAGCAGTATAATACATAAACTTGTTCTAGGTAACTAAACATGTTCCACAACTTAAAGTTTCTTCTTTGGCGTGGTCCTCTTTGTTGGAGTAGACCTCCTTGTTACTGGGCCAACAACATTCTTCGCAGCACTCAATCTAATTGTAGGACCAGGTGGCACAAAAGGTCTTGCTGGCTTCCTTACAGACAACTTTTTGTGTCTTGCTTGGCTGAGATGCTTGGCAAGATTGTTGAGTAGGCTGAGATGGAGTATGAGTTGAAGTAGGAGTGTGTTGACTAGTTTGTTGAACAGTCTGAGTTGGAGTTTGTATGCTGTTGAACAAGCCCTGCAATAACATACAATGTAGCATATAAGTTTGAATATAACAGCAGCACACTTAAGTTTGGTATATAGCAACATATTTATAACAACATACATAAGTTTGGTTCATATTTGGTATATAACAACAACACACTTAAGTTTGGTATATAGCAACATATTTATAACAGCATACATAAGTTTGGTTCATATTTGGTATATAACAGTTTAGTCTATAGCAGCAACATACATATATAACAGCAGCACATTTAAGTTTGGTATATAACATGATATTTGGTATATAAAAGCAGCACACTTAAGTTTGGTATATAACAGCAAGATACCTATAAACAACAAGATACATATAACATCATATTTGGTCTGAGATGAAAAACAACATAAGAATAAATGAAAAACTTGCCTTTTGTTGGTCTGAGATGAAGGTGTAAGTCAAGCATTCATCTTTGCCTCCAAGGTCATCAATTAACAGCTCTAAAAACCAAGTCCAGCTATCCTTCTAAAGCACCATTGTCATCAACAAGTTGGTTCATCCCAAATTAAGGGTCCTTGTAAACTCACCACTATGATGAATTTTCAAATATGAACCAAACTTCATCTGTGAACTCACCACTATGATGAATTTTCAGAGTTATGTATTCATCCATGATACCTAATCATACCATGTAAGTAATTAACGTTTAAATCAGAGAACCCTAAATCAGAGAACCCTAAACCAAAGAGAAATGAACTAACCTTTTGAGATTGGCTCTTGAATCGTCTTCAATCCTCAATAAAAAACCAGGTTTTCTTCTTCAATCGTCTACAATTGTCTTCACTCTTCAATCGTTCCTTCTTCTTCTGGGTAATGGTGGGTAATGAACACCAGAATCGTCTTCACTCTTCAATCGTTCCTTCTTCTTCTTCTTCTTCAATCTTCCACTAAGACACTTCACTTCACTTCCACCTCAGCACTCCACTTCACTTCACTCCCACCTCAGCATTCCACATGGACAAACATGACAATTTTTTCAAACTCAAACTAACGGCAACAGACGAAAGGATAAACGTGACACCATTTTAAAAGTTAAGGGACCAACTTGACACTTTTTAAAGATAAGGGACCAAAGTGGACCCCGAGTTAAAGTTAAGGGACCAAAAAGGTTATTTTGCCGATTTAAAACCTTGTTTTAGAGTCTCTTTGGTAAAAACAAAAAAAGAGTTTTTAATTTTTAACTTTTTCAATTCATTTTTATTAAAATGTTCTGTTACATAAGACAACCTTGTTTTAGAGTTTTTTTTTGGTAAAAATAAAAAAAAGAGTTTTTAATTTTTAACTTTTAATTGTTCAATTCATTTTTATTAAAATGTTCTGTTTCATAACTGTATTTTAATTTTTAATTTATAGTTTTTTAATTAGTTTTTAGTTTTTTTTTCAAAAGTTATTTAAAGTAGTTTTTGAACTTGTAGTTTTTAGCTTATGACTTTTCATTTCAATTATATTTTTATTATTTAAAAAAAAGTATTTTTTTAAAAATGTTATAGAAGAAATTTTTTTTCTATTTTTTTAGATATTATTTTTATTTATTAAATATAAATTATATAATTAATTTAAAAATAATGCTTATAATTCTCAAATTAGGAGAATAAATGAAATTAACAAAGGTGAAGAAAATTCAGAGTATTATTACAGTTTTATTGTAAAATATTAGACAATAAACTTATTTTTGTTATTATTTTAGATTAATTTAATTAAATTCAAAATTACAATGTTATTATTTTATATATTTTATTATAAAATTAGAAAGAAAAAACTATATTTTACAAAAGAATGAGTTAATCAGACCAATAAATATAATTATTATGATTATTTTTACTTTTATGTCCTAATAAATGACTTTATAAAATACTCCTACTTCATGAATGGTTTATGGTTCTTTTATTTATTGAATTTTGTTGTCAATATATTCATACTAAATAGCAAAGTTCATAGAACTTATATAAATTTATATATTTTAATCATATCTTCAATTTTTTATATATATTACATTTATTTTTATCAGTCATCAACTATAAACTATAGGCTAATAACTAACCATTATAAGCTAGTTTTGACCAAAAACCTTATTAAAAAGAAATGAAGACAAGATGGAACAATCACTGTATTTTTTTAATTTAAAAATGCAAAAGAATAAAAAATATATTTAGACTCGTGCTAAAAAAAAAAGAGAAGGGATATAGTAGACATATTAGAATGTCCGAGATTTAAAACTTTACCTCATCATATAAAAAAGTGTGTAGACAAAATAGATAAATCCAATAAACTGAATTTGTTTTGATCCCTAAAAAGGACACATACTATTTTATAGACCATTAAATAAAAATCAAATTTTAATAAAAAAATTAATTGAAAGTGCTAAACTTATTAATTAAATTTGTTTATTTTTTATCTCAGTTAATAGCAATAACAATAGCAGTAAGTAATTAGCTTAAACTTATGTATTGTTTGTCTTAAGTGTGTAAAATTATTTTTCTATTTATATAAAAAAAATGTTTTTGTATTTTTCGAGTGTATGTACGTAGTCCTGTGTTAAATAATTTAAGAGTAATGTTAACTTGTGTTCTTGGGACACATGTTAAAAAAACTATTTATAATAAATTTGTATTAAAAAAAATAATTTAAAAATTAATTTTATACTTTAATTAAAGTTTATACGCAATTTCTAAAATAATATTTCTTAATTGAGTTCTTTGCCCAAGAGCCTACTCATAATTTAAATCTATATTTATCGGAACTTCCCAAGTGTAGCACCGATTCCTTCGTGGAAAGATAAAATTCGCGACTGCATTCAATCAGAAAGCAAAAACTCAAAATGAAAATCTTTCACATTCCTTGCCTCGAAGACAATTATTCCTATTTGTAACTTCTCACTCTCTTCATTCCGATTATTATTATGCTTTTTTTTTAATCACTTTTTCCCTCTGTGTCAACTTGTCAATGATTTTGCATCGGTTATTTTATTTGCAGAATCGTCGACGAGAGTACCAAAGAAGCTGCGGCCGTGGATCCTGTTGAACCGGAGAAGGTTCTTCAAGTTTCCAATTCACTTGGTCTTACTCTCAAATTCGTCCTCACTACTCATCATCACTGGTTACTTTCTCTTTCTTTACTTACTAAACCGTTTGAATTAGAAAATAATTTTATAAAAATAGTTTTTTATTTTTTTCAAAATGAAGTATACATATGGTTTCTTTGGGTAAATTGCTTAATTTAGTGCTTGTGCAATAAGTGTTTATGAATAAGTTATCCTAAAAAGCTTATTGAAAATAAGGTAAAAATATTTTATGTACATGCCAATGATGCCATAAGTTCTCTCAAACACTTAAATAAGTGATTATATCATATGATGAACTCAAGTAAGCTGAAAAGAGTTCTTTCGAAATGAAGTAGTAATCTAGTTATCATTTATCTCAGTACCGGAACCTCTGTAGCACAGACACTTCTAAAAAAAAAGTGTCTGAAACCAATATTAACACTTGTGATTACGGTTAATTTATTTGTTTTTTTAAATTATTACCGGTATCGACGTGTCAGTGTCAGTGTTGTGTTTCTGATGTTTGTGCTTCATAGACTGAAACGAATTCCAAGTAGGCTGAGAAAGAAACCAATGTTACAAAGTGTTTTGAACCAATTAACCCCAATGCTAAGTAAAGAATTACAAATCAAAGCCCTCGTGGTAGGATAGATAGCTCCAGAGCAAAAAAAAGTAGTATTATCATGCTTTTGATAATTTGCCTTGGTTATTAACTTTTTAATTTAATTTTTTTGACTAAATATAAGTTGTAAATCATTTTCTCGAAGATTTTATTTGGTGCTACTGTTAGTTCTTTTGAGTTTTGAGGGGGAGGGGGAAGGAAATGTTGTGATTTTTGTGTAAAAATGTGGCAGGGATCATGCTGGTGGAAATGAGAAGATAAAGGAATTGGTGCCTGGAATCAAGGTATACGGTGGTTCAATTGATAATGTCAAGGGTTGCACTAATGCAGTTGAAAATGGTGATAAGGTGCATCTTGGAGCTGATATTACTGTTTTGGCGCTTCACACACCTTGGTATGGTAGTTCAACTTGTCAATTTAGATTCTGTTTGGCACCCTTTCTTTTTCCATCCAAAATTGGAGGGTTTGTAATAAACTGAGACATAGTTGTTTGCCTATGGTTTTGCTTCATTTCAAATGACATAACAATATAGTGTAATCTCCATTATAAACAATAATGAAAGAAAGAAACAGTCTAGTTGGTGTTTGTATATCAATGATAGTGAAATAGTGGGAGATTTTTGAAGACATCATCGGCTTCCTAAGTGTTAACTTCTCACATGATATTTGAATGTTGATATTTTAAGTAATTAGGTAAGGTAAATGTTACGTGATTCTTTTACAAGGGAAACTATAACTTATGTATTATGTTTCTCTTACAGTGAATCTTTGAGCTAAAGAATTATTATTCACTGCTTGATCAACTTGTTGCGCCTGTTGTTTTTGGCCTCTGTTTGGAGTTTAAGCCCTACTTATGTGATGATATAAGTTTAAAACCAACAAAATTACATACCTGTGTTATAAGATAACCAGAACACATTGTCTTCCTTGATAATTTTGTTCGGTGCATTATTAGTTATAAATCCATGTAGCCGATCTCACCTAGTGGGATAAGGCTTAGTTGTAGTCGTTGTTGCATTATTAGTTATAAATACTTATTATTCCTCTAGTATTGTTTGATATTGTCTCTTTTATGCAGTGATTCAATTTCAACCCAAGTATCAGTTTTGCCTTTTCCCTAGACCTTTTTACCTCTCTTTTTAACATAAACCATTTTTCTAACTTTCATAGCCACACCAGAGGTCACATAAGTTATTATGTTACCGGCAGAGAGGATGAGGTCCCGGCCGTTTTTACTGGAGATACACTGGTAAGTTCTCAATATTGTGCATTTTAATGAGCTGTTTTGAAACATGTCTAGAAATAACTAGTTCTTTTGAATGCATTAATAAACTTAAGATGGGCTAGTGCTTTATGTCAGAGTATATGAGCTTGATTTTTGGCTTATATTCTCTATATATGAAAGTTTTCATGTATATGAATTTTGAAGAGCTATTACTTTTAAATATTATTTATTTGTTGTGTTTCTTCTATACAGTTTATTGCTGGTTGTGGGAAGTTTTTTGAAGGAACTGCGGAACAAATGTATCAGTCGCTTAGTGTAACATTAAGTTCATTACCAAAGCCAACTCTAGTTTACTGCGGCCATGAGGTAAGTAATACCCAACTCTCCATCATTGAAATGAAAAGTATTATAGGGAATGTTTTGATGACTCGTCTTATAATTTTAAATGATGAATGATTGATCCAGAAAATTGTTTTCAACTGTTCATGCATGATTTTAGTTGATCAAGTTTCAAATTCAATTAATGGAGGTGGGATGATTGGAAAATGACAACAATTTATTTGAGTTCACATTCATTCAACAGTTGATGAGGATAATATGTAGTTTGATTGCAAAGATACCACGTACTCCCCTAATTCGTATCTTGGGTCAATCTAAAAAATGTTGTGAACTTCTTGAGATGTTTGCAGTTGCATTATTCTATACGAGGACCTATTGGCTGTTAAGTTGTAAACAGTGTAGAATAAAAATCTTGGGTCAGTCCATGCATTCAATATTTATGTAAAAACTGAGAAATGTGAGGTTTTTATTTTCTATTTCCTGTTGCATAGAGTAGTCAGCTTGATATGAATATAACATTCAAGAAGTTGGAATCGATTGACACTCGATTCCTGTAAAGAAATTGGCTGCTAAAGTCGGGGCCATTATGTGTTCATGAATATTGTTTCCTTACCTTTGCTGGAGTTTTTCTATCAATGTGCCTAGAATTTCAAGTAAAACTTTATGGTTAAGAGAACTGGGATTCTGTTACAGCAATCCTGATCAAGAAATCCATAACCAATGGCCTAAAAATAGGATAAATATTTCTCTTAAGCCCTCAAATTTTTATTAGATTTTTGATCTCTCATTTCTGGAAATGATTACAATTGGTCCATCTCAATTATAAAAGAAGAACCAACAGCTGACCAAAAGAGTACAAGAGAGAAACCATTTGTCTGATAATTTCGTGAATGATAGACAAAAACGTCACGCAGTTTTTGTGAGGGACTATCAGAGTAACAGCAACAATTAGTAAATTACCTTATTTTTGGGGACTAATAACATATTTAAGTCTCCTTTATAATATGCTTCTTTGGTTTGCTGAAAAGATATGTATTTGGTTTTTAGATATTTAAGAGCTATTGGCCATTTGACAGATCCAAAGTTCTGATTTGGAAAAAGTGTATTGCAATAGGTACTCCTTGGTGTTTGTTCACAGGAAGCTCGGTTGTGCAAAATTGGTTGTACACTTTTGCTTAAATTACAAACTTTTTATCACTGATTAAATCGATAATGCATCTTTGAGGGAGGGAAAAGGAAATTCTACATTGTTGCTCAATATTTTAACTTTCTTCTATAAAAGCTTATACTCTTAAAGACTTATATTTAAATCATTAGTCATAGCAAGACTTTGAGTTAGTTTTTTCTCCAGTACACAGCGAAGAACTTGCTATTTGCTCTGACAGTTGAGCCAGACAATTTAAGGATACAGCAAAAATTAACGTGGGCTCAGAATCAGCGGCAAGCTGGCCAGCCGACAATTCCCTCTACCATTGAGGAAGAGTTGGAAATCAATCCATTTATGAGGGCTGATTTACCTGTGATCCAGGTCTGTAACCTTGTCAACTCCTCTTCTAATTGTGCAATAAATATACGACTCCTTATTGATGGGAACGAGGAAAGTTGTGTTATTTTGAGATGCAAATTTGAAAACAAATTTCTACAATTAGATGGTTAACACAATTTAAATACTTGATTGGTTTGCGAATATAACAAGGCGTCACAACTTATTAAGTATCAACTGAATGTAATAAACTAATGTAATTAACCATAATTAACCATAATTTTCAGGTGTTAATAAATATAGTGTGTATATTTAAACAACGATAAAAACACGGTTATTCACGTTTACCGGATGGTTAATGACTTAAATGTAAATGTAAACATTTGCAGGCAAAGGTGGGGCGCAGTTCGGCCGTTGAAGCTTTAGGAGAGTTAAGGAAATGGAAAGACAATTGGACGGGCTAATGAAATTACCTTTCTAAATCACACTCCTATTTCATTTATTAATAAAGGCCTTTATGTATGTATGCCGTATCAGTTTGGTTTGCGTGAAATCAAATTGCATTGTCAGAGGCTTGTCATGTTAGGTACACGGATTGTGATTTGCACTTTCGGTTACATGTATGTTAATGTTGGTTTGTCCAAATACTAAGATGTTCCATTACGTTGATGTTATATACTTGGAAAGGAACTTTCACCCTTCAAATTTAACCAGGATTATATGTATGAAAAGGATAGAAAATTATGGCCTACTTATTCGGTTTTATTATTGGTTTGTTTGTGGATGTATAAACTAAAGGATGATAGATTGGCTTTGTCAAATATGGATAACCCTGGATGCATTCACTAGTGGTGCGGGCATGGTTGTTAATATCGAGTGTCAATTCGTAAAATCATCGAGTAAATTTGGAGTGGTTTGAAAGTAGTTTTATCTGATTTTATTTGATTTAAAAATAAAAATCAACTCATATTTTATTGGATAGTTTCATTTTTAATAAATTTAAAATTTTATGAAACTTGTTTTTTATTTTTATTTTTTATTTTATAGTATTTTTATGATTTGGTAATGTTGTTTATATTTACATTACAATTGTTTATACACTCGAGCATAAGACATTTATTTGTTCAGATCTACAACCTAAGACTTGCCTGCTTAATCAACACTTGATCAAGACTTTCTGCTTAAATCCTCAGATCCTAAGACTTTCCTGCTTATATCCTCAAGTACAAGACTTTATGCTCAGACTCATAGCTTAAGACTTTCTGCTTAGATCCCATGAATTCAAGACTTTTTACTTAAATTTCACAAATTCAAGACTTCCTGTTCGAACTCATAGCCTAAGATTTTCTTGCTTAGATTTCACGAATCCAGGATTTCATATTTAAATCCCACGGATTCAAGACTTCCTACTCAGACTCTTAGCTTAAGACTTTCCTGCTTAGATTCCATAAATCTAATAATTCCTGCTTAAATCCCATAGATTTAAGACTTCCGACTCATACCTTCGAGTACAAGACTTCAATGCTCAAATTTTATGAATCCAAGACTTTTCGGCTTAAACCTACAATCCAAGGTTTCCTTACTTAATAAACAATTTAATCAAGAATTCAATGCTCAAACACATAGCAGGAGACTTACTTGCCTCAAGCTCACAGCAAGATACTTTGATGCGCAAACACATAACAAGAGACTTTCTTTCTAAACTACTAAACAACCTGTTTAGCATAATAGACAACAATGTGTACTTGATATACAATCAAACATGAGAATATCTATAACAAAGATCATAACACTTAAGATTTCTAAGATATTCATTATTTAAGAAATCTTAAGATTTTGTACAATTTACAACAAATAATAGAAACTCTGGATACTCGATGCTGTTGTTGATCTTATTATTCTTTCATTTTGATAAAAGCGTGAAACACTTCTTTTCTTCTTGGTCCTCTTTCTTTTTTGTTCCTTGTTGATTTTTCAGATTGAATCTCCAGCTACTTAAATAGTAGATACAAAACAATATCCATTTGAAAAGATAACTTGCACAAGTGTCTTTGTTACTCCATAGTACTAAGAGACATTGAAGATAGATACACAAAAAGATCTTTATTCATTGTGTAACTTGTTTAACCGTAGCATTTTCTTTGAGAGTTGTACTATAAATTCGTTGAAAATGGATATCCATAAAGCATGTCAACTCTCATTGAGTCATGTGAACACCGACTCTAGCTGACAAATTAATTTGATAATGTAGCTTGCTTTATGCAGTAAGGATCACCTAACTTTGTTTATGCTTCTGAATGATCACCAGAAGCTGATACAATCAATAAGTGTAGAGATAACATATTGCTCTTCTGCTGCTGAATGATCAATATGTTAGGTGATCCTTACTGCATAAAGCACTTCAACTCCTCGTTTTTGATGAGCTCGTACTTCAACTCCTCCCTACTTATGGGGATGTCAGGTTCCATTACTATCTCGTAGTCATGGGTGTAGAACATTGTTAATGCTATCTCCTTTGACCAAAGAAGATAGGCTCTTGTGGTTGAACAACTGATGCTTTCCATCGCAGTCATCCCATGGATATGAGGATGCCTAGAAGCATAGTCGATTCGTGCTTCCAACTCTCGATTGCTTCCTGTTTCACAGAAGTAAGGTCGTAGCAATTCTGGTTCGGGCTCGGGCCCTGTTGAGTACCCATATTGACGCTGAGCCATTATTGGATTGTAAGTGATGATTCCTCTCGTTCCAACAAGAGGTACGTTGGGAAAGCTTCCAAAACTGGGAATCATAGGTATACCACCAAGGCTGGGGTCATACCAAGTAATGTCATGGTGCTGAAGAGCGGCAAGTTTTGCAATCTATGCACTTTTGCTGTAGAAGTTCCATAGACTGTGAGTTCTAGGTAGATGGGATGCGAACCATCTGCTGAGTAGTGCAAGGCAACATGAAAATTGCCCAAGATTGTATAGCTTGTGGCGATGAATGACCACATATGTGTCTGCTAGGATGGCGTTCACAGGATTCTTAGTGAGGAAGAGACGGATCGCCTCTTCACTGATGAACTCGTAATCACTTGGGAAGAGATATAGTCCACATATTAAGAATGCCAGAATAGCTTCAAAGATACCCAGATTCATGTTTTCATAGTGATATTCAGCCATCACCATCAGTTGTCTTGCTTCCATCCCATAAAAGCCTCTTTTAGCTTTCATGGTGGGCAACTCTTCGGGCCTAAGCTGCAGTGCTTTGGCTAAATCCCTTCTTTTCGACTTTCCTTAACGAGCTGAGACAGGCAATGGAATTCTTAGATAGCTAGTGTACTCCTCTATGGTGGGGAGCAACTGGAAGTCTAGGAAGACGAAACAATGATACCCTGGATGGTAGAATTCCACGAGAGCTTGTAACATGTTTTCATTGATTGGGGTGGTCAACAGAGGTAGGAGATCCCCATATTTTGCAGTGAATGTCTCAGAGTCTTCAACTAGGCTTGCCAGGATTTGAAGGTTGCCTATCTTCAAGTCTAGGCAGGGAAGTATGTTTCGTCGTGCCATGTTGTGTCTGCAAAATAAAAATTGAATTTCCTTGAATGGTTAGAAAATGCGAATGATGCAAATGCGTAACAATGTCATGGAACTCAGATTTTTGCAAACATCAAAAATTGTCATGGACTTGATTTCATTGCTTTAACAAAATTGGATTACAACAAGTGGTACTTCTTACAAGAGTCCTAAATAGAAAGCTAAATAAAAGCTAACAAAAAGTCCTCCTTTGCTTTGAGCTTCTTGATTTCTTCCTCCATCTGCGCTTTCTAGAGAGTGAGCTTGTCTACAATCAGCTTCCACGTAGTTGACTAAGGATTAGAGGAGGATGAATCTTCTTTAGTTTTCCTCTTCTTACAAGAGAGTACTTCTCCATTCTTCAACTACAGTTGTTTCTGAAGCTCTTCATTTTCTTCGACAACTACTTGATACTTGTGCTTCCAAGCGTCTTCGGTTTGTTGTGACTTTTTCAAAGCGATCTTCAATTTTTCTTCTTCAGACATGAAGATCAAAGTGTGTTCTTCCCTCAAAACCATGGGCTCTTGTCGAGGGTAAGGCATTTTCAATGTGATGGCTCTCTTTCGGACCCATTGAAGGTAAGGTTCCAAGGAGACACAGTTAGGCTTCCCTAAATCCTTCTTCCCTTTCTTGTGCAAATGACCCTAAGTATTTAAGATTTTCTTTTTCAACTCCGGATCACTGTTTTCTTCCTTGAAGAAAATGCTTTCTACATGGATGCTGTTGGGCTTGTCTTTCAAAGGGTATCCCAACTGTCGACGAGCAAGGACCGGGTTATAACTGATCCCTCCATTAGTACTAAGAAGACGTACATTGCCAAACTCTCCACAACTGTCAATAATCATTATCCCATCATAGTCACGACTGTACCAATCGATGTCGGAATGAGTGAGAGCCATGACTTTCTGTGACCACCATCCTTTCTTTGGATTACGGAAGGCATGAGCTTTGGGTAAATGAGACATGAACCACTTGTATAGCAACGGAACACAACAAGTAATCATTCCTCCCTTGTGAAAATTTCTCAGATGAACAGAGTGATATGCATCTGCTAGCAAAGTAGGCACAGGGTTCTTTTTCAAGAAGATTTTGATGGCATTGAGATCCACAAAACCTTCGAAGCTTGGAAACAGGAAGACGCCATAGAAGAGTAAGGCAAGAATAGCCTCAAACGCATCCATACTCAAATGATCAGCGTAATATTGTGCTTTTCTAACCAATAATTCTGTAGTTAAGCCAAAGACTCCTCCTTTTGTAGTCATGTTCTTTTGAATATCAACTAATCCCAAGCGTGCTGCCTTAGCGATATCCTGTTCTTTAGGATCTTTCTCCATGATCGGAAAATGAGATTCATTAAGAACGGCTAGTCCAAGCAAACAAGAGTACTCTTCTAGTGTGGGTACCAACTGATAGTCAGGAAATGTGAAACAGTGGTAGACAGGATCATAGAACTGGAGAAGTGTGGAAAGAAGCCCTTCATCCAACTTCATCTTCAACCTCAATAGAGACAACAAGTTCCCATATTTGCTTTGGAATTCCTCTGGATCTGTTACTAAGGCGCTCAACCTTTTTAGTTCATCCAAGTTAAAACCCTTGTAAGTGTACTTCACAGTTTTCTTTCTTTCATTGTCCATGATAACCTTGATGTTTACAAACAAAAAGATCTGAGTTCCATGACATTGAATGGTATGATAATGTTTTATGAATGCAAGGATGCACAAACACAAACAAGCACAGATACACATATGCACAGTCAAGGCTTAGGTTATAAAGCATGGAGTTAAGGTTTACCCACCCCCAAAGGTTTGTATTATGAGGTAGTTTGTACCTGCCGAACGGGTTCTAACATAGTTCCCAGAGTCATCAACCCATCTTTTGGATATTACCAATTTCCCAAATTACTCGGT